TATATATATAGTATGGCTTCGAGGCGATTCTGGTCAACCATCCGGTGTCTCAGTGGGGGAAAGTGGTTTGCCACAAACACTACTTATGGTGGGGATGATGCACTGCTGACCTCAACTCAGGACGTTGTGGGTCAGTGGGCAGAATACTTTCAAGACCTCCTCAATCCTACCGACAAATCTTCCCATGAGGAAGCAGAGCCTGAGGACCCTGGGTTGGACTCTCCAATCTCTGGTGCCGAGGTCACTGAGGTGGTTAAAAAGCTCCTCGGTGGCAGGGCGCCGGGAGTGGATGAGATTCACCCGGAGTTCTTTAAGGCTCTGGATATTGTGTTGGTGACGCGTCTCTACAATTTTGCTTGGACATCGGGGGCAGTTCCTCTGGATTGGCAGACCGGGGTGGTGGCCCCCCTGTTTGAAAAGGGGGACCGCAGAGTGTGTTCCCCCTTTAGGGGGATCACACTTCTGAGCCCCCCTGGTAAGGTCTATTCAGGGGTCCTGGAGAGGAGGGTCCATTGGATAGTCGAATCTCAGATTCAGGAAGAGCAGTGTGGTTTTTGTCCTGGTCGTGGAACACTGGACCAGCTCTACACKCTCAGCAAGGTCCTGGAGGGTTCATGGGAGTTCAACCAGTCTACATGTGTTTTGTGGACTTGGAGAAGGCGTTTGACCGTGTCCCTCGGGGAGTATGGGGTACCAGGCCCGTTGATACGGGCTGTTAGGTCCCTGTAGGACCGGTGCCAGAGCTTGGTCCACATTGCTGGTCGGACTCGTCGACCAGCAATGTGTGTGTCGGACTCGTTTCCAGTGAGAGTTGGACTCCYCCAAGGTTGTCCTTTGTCACTGATTCTGTTCATAACTTTTCTGGACAGAATTTCTAGGAGCAGCCGAGGTGTTGAGGGGATCCTTTTTGGTGACCTTAGGATCACATCTCTGCTTTTTGTGGATGATGTGGTCCTGTTGGCTTCATCAGATCCTGATCTCCAGCTCTCACTGGAYCGGTTCACAGATGGGATGAGGATCAGTGCCTCCAAATCCCAGACCATGGTCTTGACAGTAAAGTGCCTTCTCCGGGTTGGCGAGGAGGTCCTGCCCCAAGTGGAGGAGTTTAAGTATCTCAGGGTCAAGAACATGGACGGACCAGCTCTTTCAGCTCCTGCAGGATGTTCTGACCCACTAAGACACAGATTCTGATTACTAACAACATTGTAGATGGGACCAATAGACACATGTGACTTGTCAATTTCTGTTGATTCCCTGACCCAAACAAACACAACACAAATACATGTGAACATGTGTGTGGAGATATGGGTCTCGGACTTACCCTGTAGTTGGAATGGGCTCGGTTGTTGCTGAACTGACCCATCGGTGTGTGTTCGCTCTGACCTGGAGAGTACAGGCCCTCTGAGGGGCCCGTTGGCACATGGTGGAAAATAAACCAAAAACCTGTTTCCTGCAGGGTTAGGTACAGACACACACACACACACACACACACACACACACACACACACACACACAC